GGGGGGGGGCAGCGCCCGGGGCGGGGCGCTATTGTCTCAGCCCTGTGTGTGTGTGTGTGTGTGTGTGTAAAGGGTTGTACACACAACTTGTGCCACGCCGCGGAGCGCTTGTGTGTGTAAAGGGGGTGTATGCACAACTTGTGCCATGCTGCAAAGCACGCACACACGTGCGTGTAAAGGGGGGTGATATGCTCCAAAGCGCTCTGGTGTGTGTGTGTAAAGGGAGGGCTACACACAACTGCTATGCTCCAAAGCGCTCTGGTGTGTGTGTAATGGGGGGGGGTGTACACAACTTCTGCCACGCTCCAAAGCACTCATCTGTGTGCGAAGGGGGGGTGTACACTACTTCCGCTATGCTCCAAAGCGCTTATGCATGTGCACGTGTGTGTGTAAAGGGGGGGGTGTACGCACAACTTCTGCCACGCTCCAAAGCACTCGCCTGCTTGTCGGAAGGGAACAGCGTGGCCAAGTCTTCAATTTGAGCGTCCAAGGCTCTCCTCTCATAAGGATTGTGTTAAAATATGCAAAGAAGTGTGCAAATACATTTTCTTTATTTTTTTGGTTGCTCGCCAGCGCGTGAGTGAGAACTGGGTCGTTCAAGTTGAAGTATTTCTTTATTTTGAAGCATAATAAAGCACTGATAGCAAACCCCAAAGTTAGTTGAGACTCCCTGGGAGTGTGGCGTTGCCAACTCCCATGTTTTTTGGCGGCGTCTCCCATGATTTTTGGCGTTGTTCTTGAAGTCTACACTTTGGGAATCTGAAAAACATAGCTCTTCCTTTTTACACATGCTCATGCACGCGTGCCCACATGCACATGTGCGCGCATACACACATACAAATAGAAGAACTAAGTTTGTTTGTATGTGTGTATATACTGTGTGTGTGTATGTATAGGTGTATGTGTGTATTGCTACGTTTTTCAGATTCCCAAAGCGTAGACTTTTAAGAACAATGCCAAAAATCACGAGAGTTGGCAACGCTGGTAGTGGCTTGGGTTTTGCATATGTTGCATCATTTAGTTGCCTCCAAATTTATCGCACATCTTGAACACTTACCATTATCGATCATGCATCGTACAGGAGTTAGAATTATCGTACAAATGTGATAATTCTCGTACACTTGGCAAGAGTAGGAGTGAAAAGCCATGTACAGTGTACAGATTACCTGAAAAGCCCCAGTTAAAGCTTTCACAGTAAAGCTAATGCTCCCTGGCCTTTTTGTGTTGTTTAGCCATCAACTTTAACCTTCGTTACCAATGTAGAGCGGTGTCGCCCTGTTTTGTATGTTAGGTAGCATTTTTTTTCTTTAGTCACCACCCCTTTGATGCCTGGTTTTAGAGGCACTTGTGTAAAAATCCCCTGTGTAAAGGCAACTCTTGGAAGGAAATGATTTGTTTATTTCAGATCATGGTGTTTTTTAGCTTGCTGGCTCCTGAAGAGAGAAATATTATTAAGTTAAAATGAAACGTTATTTAATACCTCCTAGCAGAGTTGTTTCTGTATCCCCAGACCTTAAATTAGAAAGCCTGAACTATCTTTTTTTCTCTGCTGATCCCTGACTTTTAACCCTGTGAACATCTAGTGTTCTTAACTATTTCCCGATGAAAGAAAATGTTGATTATCAGTGGTTCCTCCAGTGTGTGACTATTTAAAATAAAATGGTGCCTCACTTTTCCCCCTAAAAGCAGGACATTCATGTTTCTTTCTAAAAGGGAGCATGGTCTGGCTGCTTGTCTGAACCATACTTTGGTTTATTCAGCACAGCAATATTTTTGTGGTCAAGATAGTTCAAGGTTTAACTGAAATTCAGCTCTTAACAGATAAATTGCTCAACATACTGAGTTGAATAAAATTTAAACTGATAGCACATGCTGCTTTTAAAATTCAAGGGAAGTGCTTTTACTGTATATCCTGCCAACTATTTAGGTTTGCTTTTAGGAAAGAAGGCTTGTTAAGAAAGTTAAAATAGTTCACATTCCATTCAGTACAGCAGAAAATGAGGGGGAGGAAGATGCAAGTCCTGCAATCTTAATTATTCCTGGCTAATTACAGGTCTCAAGTCATGGTTCACATTCCTTTCAAAAGGTAGTCACTGGCAGCCGTGTTTATGTTGGAATAAGAGTTCCTTCTAGAAATTGTTCCACATCTCTCAACCCCCCGTCTGTGACCTCTGGGATCTTTAACCTGTGCTTCACAATAGCATCACTTACAATACTGCTAAGTTGCTTTATTTTTGCATTACTTGCCTTATTAAAGGCTCAAGGACCTGGGTAGGGAAGGAGTCAAAATGGAAAACAGCCTAAAGGAATGTCCTGGCCTGTCTCTGCAGTTCCACTTTTCTCTCCTTTTATTGCAAAAGAAAGACATCTAATTTTGTGTAAAAGTAGACTTTGAAAGGTTTGGTGGCTCATTCTCTTCAAAAGTAGGAGACTTAAGGTTTTTAAAACTTAAGGTTGCTAGGGCAAGTGGAAATTGCAAACTACTGCTCCTCTAGCAAAGCTGTACACATTGGGAAAATATGTAGTTTTAAAACAAAATCATGTTAAGTCTAAATGCTGTTGACATATTGTACAAGGGTGTTGGGATTTTTTTTTAACCATGTGGTTATTAACTATCCAGTGAATTAGCAAGATAGTCTAGAACTTAATTTTATTGGCAAATAAAAAAGGTTTTCATTTTGGATACTTTTAAATACCATTCCTGCTGGATAATTGTAAATACCATCCACTGTTAAGGCTACTTTATGTAAAACATTTCCTCTATGTGAGGCCCTCTTAGAAGAACAGGAAGTCAGAGAAATTGCTTGGGGGTAGCTCCGAGAGCTCTGGAAACTTGAGATGCCCCTCACTGTTTTTGTGTCTCTGGAAGGATTTTCCCCAACTCTCCACCTTTTGATTAAGGGGTACAAAAAGCACTTTGGTAGAAGTTACGTAGCTTAATTTGTAGAAGCACATGCTTTTTCTTTTTTTCCTTTTTTTTTTTTTTTTTTTTTAGTGTTGGAATGTTTATATGTAATGACATTGGGTTGGATTTTTCTACTGATGTGCCAGATGGGTTTAATTAGTTCACTAGAGGTGACCCTCCCAATGCAACAAAACCCGTCTGTCTTCATCAGAGACTGAACACAGTGGTATTGTAAAATGTTGCATTCTCATACCAAGGTTTTTCAGTAATAGTCTGAGCAGGAGAAGATAGTATAGCTTCCTGGCATCAACCACTGGATTAGATTGTAACTGCAGCTGGAAATTGCTGGGTTATGATGACATGGCAGCTTGGTTTTGAGGAGGAAGTGCGAGATGCTGAGCTGACTTGTACTGCTACTTAGGCTTATTTGTTAAGTTGTCAAAGCATGAATGAATTTTTAAAACGTTCAACTAGTATTAATTCCCTTAAAAAATAATGAAATGCAAGGGGAAAAGCCTAGCAGATGTAGGTATTAGTAGCGTTAAAACTTTTTGACTTGTAAAAAATGCAAGCATGGGAACTTCTGTTTTCATACTGCCCTGCACGAGTGAGCCAAGCCTACTTCTTAACTGCCTGCTGTGTTTCCTTAAGAGTTTGCTGCAGCCCTGTTGATTTTCTGACTGTTGGATTCGTTTTCATTTGAGTATTTGTATAAATATTGCAACAGGATGACGTGACAATTCAAAGTATGTAGCCTAGTGTGTACCTTTAAAGGGTTGGAAAGCCACTGGGCCTCTCCTCTGTCTTGTACAACTGCTTTACTATGTTTTTAGACTTTGCAGCTATATCAGAAGTATTGGTCAGGGTTCCCCACATTCCTCAGCCTAAGGGTACTTGTACCCGAAAGCTTGCAAAGAAGAATTGTTCCAACTATTTGAGTTGGTCTAATAAAAGATACCAGATTTACCTAAAAAGCCTTGTCCACAGAGCTAAAGAATGCTTCCTCCTTTTGCATCTCATTACAAAAAGGTGTATATGTTAGTGCTGTTCCAAGGAGTATTTAATGATCTCAAACTACAGTCCCCATGTTGGCAGAACAGTGAGACTTGATAATGGAAATTGCTATATTAGATCAGCCCTGAGGTCCTTTGAGTTTACTACTACTGTCTCCAGTGATGCCTAGTACAAGATGCTTCAAAGGCAGGTTTATCAAACATTGTAGGAGGTGGCTTACTCTGGTTTTTGATAGAGACTAGCTTAAGTACCGTTTAAGAATTTTCATTGCTTCCAGAAACTGTTCTGGATATTCTCGATGCCCACTTATTTTTGGTGTTTTAGTATGTGGCAGTAACTCATAGCTTAGGAAGTATCAAGTTTAGGCTGCCTGTCGTGGGGAGCGGGAGTCATTTGGGCCTTATCATCACTAGATCCAGGAGCAATCTTCCCACAGTTACTCTAACTGTTAGATCTATTTATGCCAGCAAGGCTGGAAGTTCTGTTTACCGGGGACAAGGTTTTTTTTCAGCACATTTAGTTGAGATAAGAATAAAATGCCTGGCGGGGCTGTGGTAGCACTTCCGCTTTTTTTGGCACCACTGAAGTTCCACCAGTGTGCAACCAGTGGTGGAAGCATGAATGAGTCCTCACCACTGAGTGTGCCCCCTTTATAAATCCTTTTGCTGAATATTGTGCGATATTGTGAGGCTGACAACAGGGAGGGAAAGGGATGAGTGAGCTTACTTTGACACTTCTGTCCTTGCACTGACTTGAATCTCGGTCCTGTGCTGGTTACGTTAAATACTAGACTGTTCCCTGTATGTTCCTTTCTTTGGTTCACTGGCGAAAGAGGGAAAGCTCCCCTGTAGAAGGTGGAAGAGCTGCAGTTTTCTAGCACTGCTGGGTCTTGGGTCTCCACCACCATCTAATATATTTTTCCCCTTGTATAAACTGTCCTTGGCTCACTTGCAAAGACAACTGTGCACTTTAACTAGCTTTTTTTTCTTACTGCTGTAAACTATGCTGGATATTTGTGGCAAACCTATCTAACTTTTTAATCCCTTTCTTTCTTTTTTTCTACAGCATTGTCCAAGATATAACAGTTGGTACAAAGGTAGGCACTTCTCACTTTTTCTCTCTTTTTACACTTGCTCAGCACCTGACCTAGTTTTAGTGCGAGCTGCTTGCTTACTAGGGTTAGCCATTCAGTCTTAAACGGTCTATTTCTGGTACTACATATCAGTTGCTTTTAGTCAAAAGCCTTTTTTTTCGTAAACTTATCATGCTTAGACTTAAGTTTATAACTCAATTTTTACCCTGCTGCATGAAGAGACTGTTGCAATATTATGTTAAAAGCAAAATTCCCCACCAAAACCAAGTTGTATCCAAATAAACTTGTTTTTTGTATCCATGTAATGGACAGTGCTTCTTGAAGAAGAAAAAAAAAATCTGGCGGTGAATTTATTTGATAATTTTAAACCTCCTTTGTGTTTTTGTGAACTCCCTGTCCTGCTAGATGTCGCAATACTTCCTTTGCCACTAAAAAAAAAAAAGAGCATTTCACCTATTGATTCTTATCTCTTGGAGCTATAATAAATATGATCTTTACCCTACTAGTTTCTAGTTTTGATAATACCAGACCTAGCCCTGAAACTCAAAGTGCTGGCAGGACCCTCCCTATCAACACCGCGTGGTAATAAGCTGTTGTGTTCAAAGCTCATTTTTGAAAACCACTAGCCCATTAGTTTATTGTGAATATTTTAGGTAATGTTCTGGAGGTAGGATATATTACACACATGTACGCGTGCACACATGCCCCCGTACACACACGTACCCCACCCTTCAAAATCATTGAAGATAAATTTAACTTTTTGCCAAATTGCCTAGTTTATTATTTAAGTATTGAATTAAGGATTAAGGTAGCCTTGGTGAGACAGGTTTAAAGTATGCTGGTTTGCTTAGTTATATATATATATCACAGCTCATTTTTACTTCATCAAATCAAAAATACTTGGCAGGGAAGCTATTCCTACACAATAAACATGGTTTCTTTTATGTTAAAGGTGCAGAATTGGACATTAGTAATGCACTGACTGTAAGCAGTCTTCTTAAAAAGGCTTTTGAGACTTCTGACCAGCAGCAGACAGATAGAGATGTGTTCTCTTTAATATCTGTAGTGGGAAGGCTATAACTGGCTTATTCCTAATGGCAATGTATTAAAGAGTTTTTGCTACAAAAGCACTGAAATGTTAAGTGACTTGGTGATGTTTCTGCTGGAATACTTTGTCTGGAATTAGGACGGCCTTTGAATGAGTGGCCTGGCTACTTAATAGGGGAAGGAAGGAGAAATTTGAGTTTTGACAATTAATGGGGATAGGCTTATATAGTATAACCTGAATCATAGAAAATGGTCTTGAGTAGAGTCCATCCATCACCTTACCAGTGTAGGATTGTTCTGTGCAGCGCAGCCTCGTTATTTCACGTGTTCAGTTAAAATTCCGTAACTCGCCAGTAGTGCTAAGTGCTTTAAAATTCTGAAGCCATAGGAAGATTCCTAGTTAGGTAAAAGCAAAGCTGCCATGAAGATCCATCAGTCTTTGTGAAGAATGGAAAAAATCAGGATATGGTATTACATAGGAGATACACACCTCTTACCTCCTTTCATGTCTTTGAATTCCTTAAGAGGGTATGTTGTGTTGTCTAAAATGGGGATTGGAGGAAGTTGCACTTTGGCAACTTCTTCAAATTGAACAAAGTACATTAGAAAAGGTAGACTAGAACAAGAGGAGGAAGTGCATATGTTAGAAACAGGTACCACCTGTCAGCTCACGCAGATGTTACCTTTAGGGGAAGCAAAGTGAAGTATTAAAAAGTGGCAAGAGCAAAACGGTGGGGGGAGGGGGGGTGTTGAAATAACCTGAAAGGGTAAGATTTTTTTTTTTGCTTAAATATATTTTGAGAATAGTTTTGTACCTGGGCACTCTTTAGTATTTTGCACTTGAAATGCACATTCCACACCAGGCTACATAATAGAACTTCATGTATGTTCTGTAATAGTGCACCTTAATAGGCCTGAGCGGTCATGGATTTCATTTTTGGATGAGTACTTGGTTATACAGTGTTGAACTAATTTCTAAAGTCCATTTTGGGCAAGGGAGAAGGTGGTATTCTATGGCTACTGCTGGTTTTTTTTAACCTTTTTCTGATCTTACTGCATCACTGAGAGCCTTCTGATTCCTTGCTAATGTGTACTTCCATTAAGTCTTAAAAACTATTCAGTCATATTTTGTATGAGCGATTTTAAGTTGAAAATTTACTTTCTCAAAGGTAAGTAAGTTGACTGGCAGCAGTCCTGAATTATATTTTTGCAGTTGCTCTTACTAATTGCCTTCACTTCATGCTAACTTCCTATGTTTTTTTTTTTCCCAATAATTGGGTTAAATGAAATGCAGAGGAAAGTTTCTGTAAGGTCCTGGAAGCATTTCAATTTGAATGTTTTTCTTGAAAGAATTTTCAGTGATTCTTTGCAGCAGCATTTTAAATCTGATCCTTTGGGCATCACTGAAATCACTTTACAAATTAACTGATTTTTTTTCTTTTCTTTCTGAAACAGATGTTCTTCTAGCAGTGCAGTTGAACTATGGTTTATGTATTTTATAGGTTAAACAGTGAAAAATGTGAATAAGGTTCCTTTGGAGATAAAATAAGTGCCAACGCTAGCATCCGTGCCAGAAAGCTGTGCTCTAAAGGAAGCTTATGGATTTGGCCCCTAGATTGTAGACACTAAGACATTTAAGGTTGGAAATCAGTATCGTATCTTTTTAAAATTTGATTCTCCTTCCCCACCTTATTCGTTCAGAATATGCACGAGCAGACAATAGTAGTAATGATTTTCTTTCTGTTTTGTATAAGCTTAAATGATCTTGGGCTCTGACTTCCCTTTTGTTACTCTTGATGGGCTGTTGTGAAGAAACAGAGATGTACCATTTTGTTAGTACAGTAGGAGATGTCTAAATTTAAAACAGCAGCAGGGGGCCGGGTAGGGTGGGGTTGTGCGCTAGCTTGGCCCATGTGTTGTAGACTAACCCCTCCCACCACTTGAATGACCATAATTTAAATGATGGCAAACACTAGTATGCTGGCGGGGGGAGGAGTATTAAACGAAAAAATTACATAAAACATAAGTGGAAAGAAGGGTTATGAAATACTTTTCTGAGGTTTCCTTTTAAATCTTCAGACCTAAAGCTGTCCAAGTTCATATATAGCAATCCTGGATTTTAAACCATTTATTTTAAGTGATTAAGTCAGTAATTGGATTGGAATGGTGTGCTGTACTTCATCCAGCCCCATAGGCAGAACACAATAATTTGCTTGACCTCCAGTTGTTATTTCTGGTATATTTGCACATGAACTGTTTTTCATTTATTCATTCTGAATGGGGTAGTGCCCATATTTTTTTATTCTTTGATAACCTCAGTAGGCATTGTAGGGCTTCAAACATGCATGAAACACAACTGAATTTCAAATTCTGACATTCTAAAAAGATTATCTTAGGAAACTCATTAATTCACATACAGAGCCTTCCAGTCACAGGAGACCCTGCTGGAAATAATGCTGCAACCCAAACATATGATTCCCTTATAACTTCCCTGTTCTTTAACTGACTTTTCCTATCTAAAAAAGGAAGGATAGCCTTGCTGCTGGGGCTCTGAATTTGGACTTGTGATCTTAGGTCAGTCCCTTAATTTCTCTGTGCCTTGTTTCCTCTTAAGGACTGGGAACTGCATTTTGTCAGGGATATACACTGGGACCTTGAATCTCAGTTGGCTCCTCTAGACCCTACTGTAATAAAGACTATAATATATGATAGTTCATATTTTATACCAAAGTGCTGTTCTTTGAGCCAAGAGCATGCTGTTACATCTCATTCTCAATTAATTCCTGTACAGACATCTAACATTAGGAAATTCTATAGCGTAGGCCTAAGCAGACGGCTCCATAAAGTAAAATGGAGGGGAATGTATAGTTTGGTGGCTGAAAAGTGTGGCACTTGAAAAGTTAACTTTACTTTTTTTAAACATTAAGAAGTTTTTTTGGAGTGTGATACAGGCTGACTGCATAGAAGTGGTTTTGTGGCCAAGCCAGGATCTTTGCCATGGGAACAGTAATTATGGCTTCAGGCAGCAGGCCAAGAATGTGGTGAGGAAATTCCAGTCCCTCCTATGGCTTTAGTTCAAAGGCTGCAACAAGCTGGCTCTTGTGGATTTTCTGTTACAGGCATGATCACACATGTAAGCCACATGCGTTTATGCTGCCTTTCAAGTATCCACATTAGCAGTCAGAACCCAAGGCAAATAAGTATATGCAATAGGAGTGGTAACATGTCTTACAGTAGATACATCAGGAGTACATGTTAGTGAGTGGGTATAATTTAATTTTTCAGCTGGCTCTTTTCCCTGCCTCCATCCCTTTCCCAACCCCTCACTTTTTAATGTTCCCATGTCTTCAACTCAGGAGTAGGTTATCGGTCTTTAGGGAATGGGAGAACCTCCCCACCCATGTGAGAGCAGGCACTGAATATTCTTTCATTTTCTTTTTTTATTTCTTTTTGCAATGAAGTGAATATAATACTACTATAGTATTATCCCTTCATCACCTCACAGTATAGGTTGTAACCAAGAGTCTTAATAGAATAAACTCATCTGTCATAGGGGGAATTGTGCGGGCATGCCTCAAGTCGCTTCTTAACCTTTGCTTAAACTAAAAATTGTTATTTTATTTTTATGTGCAAGCAAATAAGCTGTGTGAATCTAGTCATTCTTTCTTAATCTGTGCTCTGATCTCTACTGTAACCTTTTCCCCTGGATGGGATTTGCAGGAAATCCAATTAAGATGTCCACTTGGTGAAATGGATAAATGAAAATATTTGTTTCGAAGTTTGAAAGCTGGACTTCTTTATTCATCAGCTATTGCATTCAAAGTAAAATGTTTCACAGGTATTAAGTAAATCCTCATTCCTGTCATGTAAGCCCTGTTCATACAGGAACATTTGTAAGAGAGTCTGCCTCCGTCACAGGGCATCAGAGTGTGTCCATGGCTGAATTTGAGGTTGAG